ATATCCCTTCTTTAAAATATAAGTGAAAATTCACCAAATGGAACACAGCATTCCAACATGTGTTCCATTTTGACGTTCTGTTTCTATGGGATTTTAGGTGTTGGTTTAGAGTCCAGTGCTGAATCAATGGTAAAATTAACAGGTTGCTTAGATTTTCATGTCGGTTTCAATCAGCGATGGTATGTATCCGAATTTGTGTACATGATAAAAGTTGCGATGGTTTTAAGGCTGTAAAGCTGTTGTTTTCATGCAAAACAGCTAGACTAGATCATTTGCTAGTATTAAAAATAAATTATGAAGGCTAGTTTGATGCATTTTTCAGAAATATAACGAGAAGATGAATTGAATTGATAACGACTACAAGTTATAAACAATCTCAATTGATCCTTTGAAAATCATGAATTTTGTGATAGCGTACACATTATTAAAACGTTTGATAAAAATTCATTGTCCTCCTTTAATATTAAGAAAAGGAATAATTCAGTGCTAACATTTGAAAACGGCACAAAAGCCATTTGTAAACAAATGGTTTGTGGGCCCTTTACTCACTACTTGAAGTACACCCACGCGACACAACAGCAACATCGGGTAGGGGAAATTTTCCCCTTCCTGACGATGCTGTTGGTTTGCGTGGGCGTTCTTCGGGTAGCGAGTAAAGGGCCCACCAACCATTTGTTTACAAATGGCTTTTGCGCCGTTTTCAAATGTTAGCACTGAATTGTCCTCCTTTATCTCCAAACCTCAAATGTAATGTCCTCCTTTTCAAGTTTTTGATATGGTAACCCTGTACACTATTACCGAAGAATTTCCGGAAGAGAAAAGTGAGGAGTGCAAACAGCCGACCGGTGAGCAAAAGCTACGCTGATGCTGGTGAAGAAAAGTGTAGCTACATGCCCACAATGCGTTTGATATACAGGGCAGACTCGATTATCCGGAGTCTTGAAAAAAAATTCACTCCGGATAATCGAGCGATTAAAAAAATTTTTTTTTTTGGTCTCATGTGGTCTCATTGAATGTTTTTAGTGGTCCCATTGAACGCTATTGAAGGATTATGGAATCGGACCACTGGTTTCGTAGATATGGCCGGAACAAGTTCTGGCGTTTATGGGCCATGAGGCTAAATTTGACTTGAAAGGAACAAAACCCATTAAGCGACACATAAAATTAAATCAAAATTTGATATCAAGATCAATGGTGGCAAACATTAAGTACCTTGGACCATATTGGCCACTTCCGGGCAAGTTCCGGGTGCCTCCGGAAAAGTGGCCAGAACCAGACTTGAATAATAACCTATCATGCGACACATCAGATTATATCAAAATTCGATAACCAGATCAATGGTGGAAAAAATTAAGTACCTTGGACCATATTGGCCACTTCCGGACAAGTTCCAGGTGCCCCTGGAAGTGACCAGAATCGGACTTGGATAATAACCTATCATGAGGCACATTAAAATACATCAAAATTCGATAAGAAAATCAATGGAATTGAACCTCATGGACCATCCGCTTGAGAAGCCAACGTGTAGCCAACCACGCCATAGGACCCCTCAACTTGAGAAAAATCGTAATCTCGCGACTCCCACGAGTGTGTAGAGACAAAGTTGAGCTTGGCTAAAAATCACGGCGTGAAGGCACCATATTTGACGCGGTTCCTAACTTAACGCACTCGATCAATTTCGACCATTTTCCATTCATATTTTTGAAATGTTAACATTGCAAATATTAGTCGGTGCTCTAGGGATGATAGTGTAACAATTCAACTGATGGTTGCTGATAAAACGGCTGCAGGCGAAAATGAAGACGAGAATGTGGAATTCGATGTTATGTCTGATGCTGACATAGTCAATGCTGATCTTAACCCTCCGTTACTCGCGCCAACGCCGCCAACTTTTATAACACGAGAAAATTACTGTCTTCGACAAAGTTGTTCAAGAGGTCAAAGCATTTTTGGCTGGTAAAGAGTAGTTAAGAATTTTCTCACCACGTGGCATAGATGTACACTTCTTGTATATGCTATATCTCGAGATCCTAATCAGATAGAAAGTTACTGTCTGCAACAAAGTTATTCAGGAGGTCAAAGTCTTTTGGCTGGTGAACAATAGTTTAGAATTTTCAAGGCTCTAGGCTTTGAACTCCTGAACAACTTTGTTCAAGACAGTAACTTTCTATCTGGTCAAGAACGTGAGATATTTTATATGCGAGAATTTCACATGTATACTAGCATCATGAAGTGGGAAAATTCTGTACTACTGTCCACCAGCCAAAAGACCTTGACCTCCTGAACAACTTTCTATCTGATCAGGATCTCGAGATATAGCATATGCGAGAAGTGTACATGTATACTAACGCCGCGTGGTGAGAAAATTATTAACTACTGTTTACCAGACAAAAATTCTTGGCCCCCTAAACAACTTTGCCGAAGACAGCAACTTTCTAGCTGATCAAGATCTCAAGCTATTGAATATGGGAGAAAGGCACGTATATACTAGCACCGCATAGTGAGAAAATTCTAAACTATTGTCACCCAACAAAAAGATCTTGACTTTCTGAAAAACTTTGCCGAATACATTTACTTTCTATCTGGTCAGGATCTAGAGATATTTTATATGCAAGAGTTTCACATCTATAGTAGCGCCGCAAAGTGAGAAAACTCTGAACTACTGTCCACCTGCGAAAAAGCCTTGACATCCTGAACAACTATGCCGAAGACAGTACCTTTCTATATGGTTTGGACATATTTTATATGAGAATTTAACGTGTATACTAGCGTCGCATAGTGAGCAAATTCTGAATAGGCTTTGATCTCCTGAAAAACTTTGTGAAAGACAGTAACTTTTTATCTGGTCAGGATCTCGAGATATATCACATGCGAGAATTTCACATGTATACTAGCGCTACGTAATGAGAAAATTCTGAACTACTGTCCACCAGTGACAAGGCTATGATCTCCTGAACAACTTTGTCAGAAACAGTAACTTTCTATCTTATCAGAATCTTGATATATTCCATGTTGTAATCAATTAAGTCAAATCCCACGTAGTATGGTCACAGTTTTCGCGGTTTCCATTTACATTTTCCCTATTATCCGCATTTTTCAGGTGTTTACTGTAATCAAAGTTAAACTTGTTTAGATCAAAACAAGTTTTTTGAAGAATACTCGTTGGTTTCAGATCGATTGGTAACTCAGCAACAAAATGGCAATGGAAAACTCATTTCCCGATCTTGTCAGACTGAGTCGAATGATGTATGTTACTCGTCCTCGGATCGAAAGTCGGTTTTCCAAGCGTTTTATGAAAAATAATTTGCAAGATAGGGAAAAAAAATATGACTCCGGATAATCGAGCCATTTTCTCCGGATAATCGAGCCTCAGGTTAATCGAGCCTCCGGATAATCGAGTCCGGCCTGTACTGTAAAACCACCGACGAACCGACATGCCACAGAAGCATTTCGTTTGTCCACAATTCGATTCGTCAAAAAATGCGATTCGAACTTTCAAACGGGCGATCAGATCTGTCAAACGAGGTGAGACGCAAACCATGACAATATAAATTCTTTGTGGGTTCGTGTCTTTACTCATGATACGACGCGATCGGATGAGTAGATGGCGGTAGTGTTTAACTTTTTTTAAATATAGCGTCTTGGGCAAGAATTTGAATGTTGCTTGAATGAGCTGTCAAGTCGGTTCATCGGTGGTAAAACTACCACCAAAAAACTACTCGTGCATAACTACAGTGGTTCTAGTGAATTACGATCCCATATACGCTATTTCAAAACTACTCACATTTGTATAGAATCCACCCAGATCGGTTAAAGCTGAACCTACCCTTTTTACACGATACGTATTATTATTCTTATTTTTGTCAAAAGGAACTCAGCGCCAGTGTCTGTTTTTATCATTTACTATCACACGCAAGGAGTACCCAACTAACAATTTTAGCTGCAGACTAGCTTATACAGCAGAAAATTGCCTTATGCAGCTAATTTTTGTCTGTATAAGCTGATCTGCTGCTAAAATTGTTTGTTGGGTAGCGCTTCAACCCAGTGTAGATGAATTGCGTTTGTTTCGAAAATCTTCACTGTTACGTACGAGTTAAATGAACAAATGAGTTCATTATACATCAACGAATACGTGTTTGTTGATATTCTCCAGTGCTTGATTATCCAACCCAAAATTGTCAAAATCAGAAATGATCCTTAAAAGCAAAATAATCAATTTCATTGAGGGCAAAATGATTATTTTAAATATTGTCGACTCCAAAGCTTAAAACCGGCATTTTTCATCAATTCAGCATAAGGCAATAATTTGCCATCGGCTTGTGTGTAAAAACTAACACGACACGTCCTTCAGCGCTATATTTGAGTGAAATGAAAAATCATCCCAACCAAGATGAAAACGAATATTAATATCGACAACAGCGGAAGCAGCCACGAGAAAAAAACAAAATTTGATGACATTTAATGTTGATTACGATACTCAAAGGTTGCCATGATCAAGAGAATGTTGTTAAGTCCAAAATCAGATTCATGCAAGAAGTTGGTCTATCTGTTACGGTTGTCTTCATTTCCAGCTAAGTTGAGTGTAGAAGAAATGATTTTTATCAGCACTGCTCAGTGCACATACGCTGCTCTCAGGATGATATCAGCTGAAGCAATGACCCTAGTTTGGAAGTGACTATCCCAATCGCTAGCGATTCCACAAACAGCATTTGAAAAGTGAGCAATTTTCCAAAAAACAGTAATTTTACGGAAACATTTTGACTCAACCAAACTTGCAATAAACCATGAGTCATATAAACTCTCAACACGTTAACCGAAACTTAAACCTTACATCACTCTAGAACCTCACATTCGGGGAGCCAAGTCGGTGCGACAAAGATGGCATCACCACCTACCAATTCCAGTGCACTTCTCCCGCAGCTATCGCGTTCCATCGCCCGCACATGGGGTCCACCTCGGCCGATAAGTTGCTCGTTCATTACATTAAAGACTAGCGCTCTGAAGAACTGATAACACGGGGCGGAAAATGTGAAACGACCAATCGCCGAACCACGTATTCAGTTTGTAAAGCTCGCTCCTTCGTGTCACATCGAATTACGATCTCCGAGGTTATCCGCGCGCTTTGATCGTGATCATGCCTTCGATCTGTTTACCCTTCGCGTCGTAGATTATCCATCGTCGTCGTCTGGAGCAGTTGTCGTCGCGATGGGTCATTCCACGTCGAAAGAAGCCGCCACCCCGAACAATCCGTGGGAGGCGGAAATTGCACGGAAGAAACGTCGCGAGCTAAATGCCAAGGAGCGAGCTGCCGAACTGAAACAGATCGTGAAGCAACGGAAACGGGCCGAAAAAGAAGCCCAGCGTGCTCAACGGAAGGAACAGAAGAAAAAGAAGAAGAACAAACGGAAATCAAAGCTTGACGATCTCAAGGACACTGAACCGCCGGCCATAGTGCGGCAATCTAAAGCAAAACTAGAAGAAAGTGACTACGATTCGGAAGCGATCCGGCGGATGAAAGATCAGCTGGCGTTCAACAGTGACATCTTTGTGCTGAATCAGCTGCTGCTCGGTGTGCAGTTCTACGGAAATTACGAAAGGTAGTGCATCGCGAGGGGGAATGAGTTTGCAATCATGCTATTAATGGACGAATGAAATCATTGAAACTGCAAAGACGCAAGTTAGTAGCAACTCAGAATCGATACAGATACTTGGCAGAGTGTGTCGCGTGTGCGTCTTATCAGTTGCACTGTTTGACGACAATTGTGTCCTACAAGATGTTTTGGAGAGTTTGCGAAAACGAGGGAGGTACTGATGAACGCCATCGCCAATGATGAGTTAGTGAAAGTATTGTGTTATCGGAACACAGCAAATATAAAGGGATTGACAAGTGACATATGTGCTAGTTAATAATACTAGATCATCGAATATCGACAGTATATGGAGTGATTCACCGGTGTCGAGTATGCCTTCAATTGCTTGATAAGGAATAAAAAATAGTTCATGCAAACATGTGTTAAGTGTCGAAGCTTACGAGACCAGCGAATGGATGATAGATTCGTCAACATATTTTTTTTTTTCGATAAGTAAAAAACGAAATGTCCTCACGTCGAGTGTTTCATCGCCAAGGCTTTCCAGCCAGTAATTGAAATCAACTTCACGAAAAACATTTGTCATATTGAAAATGGAATCAGTACGCTGTTGCATGCATGACATTGCATGTTTGTCAATATATAGCTCTCTAATTTCCAACTTGCAATAGTCTGATGTGGTTAGTTGGTTGATAGTTCGGCATATTAAGGGATCCTGCCCGAATTCTAGTGCAAGTTTGGATGGCTTCAGGTACCTCGGAATATCGAATGATCCGGTGGATTTCAATATCACATTCAGTCAACATCCAGAATTATTCTGAAGGATTTAGAACTGGACCCAACGAATACCGTGTTAGCAGGTTCTTATATCTTTGAGGTATACCCAGTTAGCTTGCTGCAGCGGATCAAGGGACTTTGGGGCAAGTTGAAATGCCAAACCATGCGGAGCAGATGTTAACTGTTCATTGTGCACTCATTTCTAGATAGAGCTGGAATTAGCGCGTAACAGCTTTTGTAAACAATGACTTCTCTCGATGATTTCTATGAATCCAAGGCACGCTCACGCAAACTCTTCCCCTACCCGATGGTAATGTTAATTTGCGTTGGCGAGACTTGAATTTCTAGAAATCATCGAAAGAAGTCATTGTATACAAAAGCTAATACGTCCTAATTCCAGCTCTATCAAGATTTGTTAGTTGGAGCACATAATCATTTGCTATGGAGTTTGACGTTTTTACACTATCACTATCTATGGAGCGTAGTATCCTCCACAGTGTGATTAATAGATGAAAATAGTGTTATACGGACGATGCTTTACAATCAATAATATTTACAGTGCTATGCCTGTTTGTCTGGGCTAAAGGCATAGATACTGCTTTGAAACTGAATCTCAATCCAAGCCTCGTACGGTTAGAAATAAGTTCCCAGCTTATGAGTTACCTTAACACCAATTAAGGTATATGTGCTCGTCCACAACTCGTTTCCGAAGCTCTCTAAACCTCTTTTAAATCTCCTTAAAGCTCTGAAGTTAGCAGATCCTCTCTTAACCGTTATGTGCGTGACGGGATGCCCGGGTACCCAGTTCCCATTTGAATAACGCGGTGTAGAGAAAAGCAAAATATCCCTCACGCACACAAGGGTTAAGCCTTTTTCAGACCTTCGAAGGTCACTGAACCTTTCTGAAGTTTGTTAAATCTCTCAGACGTCTTTCAAGCTTCACAGCTGTATCTTTGCATTAGCTCCAGGATCATCCTAAAATTTGTTATAGAAGTTCAGAGACCTTTACTGCCACTCATCGCAAGTCGGTTCTATTTCCGATTTTGTCAGTTTTCCAATGGAAATAGTTGCCAATCACCCATATTTTCATAATACTGGATGAACTCAACAATTTTGTTCTGGAAACGTTTGTGAACATAGCTAAAGATGTTGTCCCATGCCATAAGAAGCAATCGCAAGTATTATTGAAAGTTTAATCGTGCTTTTAAAGTATTCTACAAGTCTAAATCATGGAGTACAGAGCCCTCATAAAACCCAAATTGTTACTAGGGATGTTACGAAGCAAACAGACAATTTTAGTAACCCATAGGGGGTATAGGGTCACTAGGTGGAAGGCCATTGGGCTGATCGCCGTTAGGCCGACTTTTGAAAAGTGTGGTAAGCGTGATTATCTCTCACTCCAGCAGGTCTGGGCTCAATCCCAGTCGGCGCCGCCGGGATTTTGTGAGGCATAACATCTCTGATCACACCTTTGGTCCCCGGTTCATGAGTTGATGGGTCGATAGGTAGCGTCCAGGTGTGGGAGCTGCCTCTCTGACGTCGTTAGCGTTGGTGCTCAGCACGGAAAACATGACCAACGGAATACAAATCAAGGAAAATAAAAACTTTCAACGCGGAACATGTTTCTTGATTTATGCTGCCGTTATACGCATAATTGTTCAATGTTCTATGCAACCCCTATGAGCCGTGGGACTCAAGCAATATGAGTGTGGCTAAATCATGGACTAAAATAAAAAATTACGAAACTCAATCCATTAAAAAATATTACAATCGCACTTTAAAAAATATATCATTTTGGGACTTAAAAAGTAAGAGGTTGTATCCAAAACATGACCGTAGATTAGACGTAGGATAACGTGCTCGGTTTCAATATTCGGCGACTGTGTTAGGGAAACCACTATTTCCATCACGGAAACACCTCGTTTTCTAATGTCAAAATTACGCATTTTCGTGTACAAAACGCACGGATTTTTAGGTTTATTCAATAAATAATAAAGAAAATGAAAATTGATTGGATTTAGGATTTTTTGCTTTTTTCTAGCGTTCTGGAGAAAACCTTACCTTAATTCGAAGTGTTTCGGTCATTACGAGAATGTTTATGTACCACTTCAATACTGTTACGCATTTTACCACAAATACATTGTACATTGTCAAAGAGCTTTGGGTGTGATGTGGCTGGCAGCAAGGCGAGCGTACGTTCAATTTAAATTAATTTTAAGCAACAATAATTTATAGTGGTCCTGAAAAGGATCGCTTGTAGTGATGGCCGGTGTTGTGAAAATCACTTGTATCACAAATATCACGCCAACCAAATATCAGCTCTGATTAAAACTCATTTGATATTTTTAAATACGCCACTCATTTGAGTTATTGACAACCCAAGCAATGCAACATTACAACTCAGCACTCACTTATTCTTGTCTTTTTTCACTCTCAAAGGATTATACACATGTACTTTCTATTCAATAAAACGAAACACACAAACGGTTCGTTTTAAGTACAACTCCATTGAGGTAGTATCACCAACAATCAATTCGAAACTAACGATTTTAAATTGGCTCACTACTTGACTAGCCTATTGGTCCCAAGCAAATCGATTGACGTACCCCATTCTAGTCGAAATTCTAGTACTACACTATGTTTGTTTTGATTCGCTACGAAAGTTTGACAGATAAAATGAGGGGTTCGTAAATTTTCCTATGTGTTGAGGTGAATCGATTACCTTGGGACCGAAGATAGTACACGGGAACAAATCCAATCACCAAAACGAGAAAAATTACTCATGATTTCATGAACATAGCGTGTTTTCATGTTATGAAAATACACCATGAATAATATTCATGATATCATGCGCTAATTTTTGCGTAACGCAGTCAAGATTCCAAAAATCATGAATCATCCTAGTTGAAACCATGAACTAAATTCTATCAGCTTTTAAAGCCAAAACATGTAAAACAAAATAAAGTAAAACGTCAGACTGGATTCGAACCAAGAACATTGGGATCATTAAACCCATACTTTAACCACTAGACTTTCAGAACTTGTATAAGGATGAAGGCAAAAGGCGTATAAGAGCTACCTATGTAGTGCATTTTATGAATACGGTTTGCCAGGTACGTGTAACGCTTGTAGCGGTCATGATTCCGCTGTATTATGAAATAATGAATTTCCATCATAAAATTGTAGATCATTGCTATGATTTCATGGCGTGGAACGTTTTTTCATTTCATGATTTTTTATTCATGAAAATGGAATCGGATTTCTTCCCGTGTACCAGAGCTGAGCCAAGAAGTTGAGCTCGTTTCTTCGGAACCTTCTGGTCTTAGTCTTACAATTCCACCATATAGTGTACTATTATGAGTGAGGCACTCATTTTATTTTTTCATATGTGAAAATCACTTAGGGTTTACGTGAAGTGCAAATAGAATTTGTGCACTTTGTCGATTATTTTGAGTGTAGAGTAGTGTGCGCTGATTAAACGTCAAAAAGCTCCATAGTGCCTATGATCAGATCAGAGACGATGTTTTATAAGAGACGTGCGGAAAGAATAAAAGTAAATCTGGTTGCACGGCCAACAAAGTTATTTTGTCTGCAAGGTTTGGCAACCCGCAACTTTGTGTTTACTTTGAGTGACTTTTAATTTAAGCGAATATGTTTTTTATCGTTTCGATAGTACCGGTATTCAAACGAAGTATTTGAATAATCATTTTTCGACAACACTCAGTGAAACCAAATATACTACATTGGAGGGGATATTTTACAGAGCGTTGCGCAAAATTAGGCAATCTGTGATTCATGCTTCCTACCCTGTATGAATGAAATCTCGATTTCTTTTTCGAATGGATGTATCTGCTTTTTAAAACAATACATTTACTCGTCTATTTGGCTTAACTGGTAGCTCGCCCACGCATGCTAACACTACCGTAAATGAGCTACCAGTTACGCCAAACCGATAATCAAATGCATTGTTTACAAAACCAGATATGTCCCTTTAAAAAGTAATCGAGAAATCCCTTTTTAGACATGTTTCCCCAAATTCATTATCTTGACAGATTACACCGGAAACGCCTTGATCCACTGTAACGCCTGTGCATGTTTTTCGTTGCACTGGAGTACTTTTTTTGTGAGAACATATCGAGAATACAGTTGGTGAATAACAATAATATTACAGCCCGGTTAGCTGTAAGCCCCTTGATGATGCTATTGCAAATTACTATTTTTGAAGACTGTCA